GGTTTTGGTTTTGGTTTTTTGAGACAGGGTCTCACTATGTCGTTGAGACTGACCTGGAACTCACTATGTAGCCCAGGTTGGTCTTGAACTCACAGCGATCCTCCTGCTTCAGCCTTCTGAGTGCTGGGATTACATGCATGTGCCACCATGCCAGGCTCATCAGTGGTTTTTAATGTCCAGTCCCCACCCCAGGAGCAGCACCTGAGAACTTGATAGAAATGCAGATTCTCAGATCCCACTGAGATATGAATCACAGACTCTTGGCATAGTGCCCAGCAGCCTGCTCAGACACAACCTCCAGAAGATTCCGATGACCACTCACTCACCTTGGAGACCTGGGCTGTGTAGCCAGAAGGATGGAGGAACCATGTTCTAGTCGTGGCTGACTCACAGTGTTGCATGAAGGAAGCTGGACCTATGAGTGTGTACTGTAGGATTCTATTTGCTATATATGGGGATAGAAAAAACTAGCAAAATGAATCTAGGATGTCAGAAATCAGAATAGTTATTACTTTTGGAGGGGGAAAACACTAACCAGAAGCCAGGGTGAGATATTCAGGGGCTGGCTACATTCTGTTTCTCAATGGGAATGTTGGTTACACAGGTTCGTTCAGTTAGTGAAACTTCACCAAGCTCATCACTTAGAATCTGTTGCCCTTTTCTGGTCTATGCTGTATTTCAGTAAAGCAGTGAAATGAAAAACACGGGTTCTTCTTTTTTTTTAATTATGTTTTAATCATTCAAAACCTGGGAATTAGCCAGGGTTGACAGTGTACGTCTGTAGTCTCGGCTACATGGGAGGCTGAGGCAGAAGGATCGCTTGAGACTACAAGCCCAAGACTTGTCTGAGCCAACATAGCAAGACTCTGTCTCAAAAACAAAACACAGGAATTTAGTCTGGTGAAGGTGGAAGGGGAAAGCTTGTGTACACTGATCAGAAAGTAAATGAGTACATTGTTTTTTGGAGAAAAAATTGGCAGTCCCTCTGAAGCTTAAAAGAATCTAGAAATTCTGCCCCGGAATTCAGGGATGCAGAGGTACATATTGTGAGAATGTTCCCTGGACGTTTTTGTACAGGCATAAAAGAGACAACATAAATTTCCTTCTGTCGTGGACTGGTTATGTAAATAATGAGAATATGAGCAACTGTGGAAAATGGCACAACTTTGCACCGCGCAGTAGTGTGGAAGAGTGTCCCTGTCCCCCGTGCCATTGCTGAGGGCAGAAGCACGTTACAGGCATTCACTGCACCGATTCACACTGGTAAGGGAAAGAAAAGCATATGCAGGAGGAGGTTATAAATGCAAGCAAAAAGGTTAGGAAGGATACACACAGAATTGTTTATATTGGCTTTTTTCTTTCATTTGCCACCAGTAAATAGGGGTAGGGTGTCATTTCCTTATATGCGTCTGTGTTAATGTTTTGCCCAGTGATCATTTTTTGAAAACTTTTAAAGTCTTAGCTTTACTGTTCAAAAATTCTTAGCCTTAAAAAAATGCTTATCAGGGAAAAAATAAATAGTATTTGTGTAGTTTAAGCACATAAAGATCTAGGATTTGTCTTACATGCAAATACGCATGCCAAGCAGGAGATGAGTAAAGTTTTCGTAGAGTGATTTCCATCGGTATTGCTTATGGGGAAAGATAAAAGGCTTGCCTCTAGATATATTTCAGTTACCTAGGAAATTCACTAGGGTAGAACAATTCTTTTCTTGACAGGGACATTCTTTTTACTGTGCTTGCTGGTGTGGTCACAGGCCAAGTATTCTGCTGTTTGAGAGACAGCTTGGTTATTGTTGTCCCTGTGTGTAAAAGTGACCGCTGCTAGCAGATTAAACAGTGCAACTCTAGACAGCAGGCTCTGCTTGCTTATTAGTGAAAAACATTTTTGCATTTATAGCCAAGAGCTCTTAGTTGAACCCATTTAGCTAGATGCAAGCTTGTGTAGGAAACCTAAACCCTTGCGATCCCAGAGAGATACCATAAACACATTTGCAGTGCTTTCTCACTCACTGTTATGTTTCCTGTGTGAATCATGAACAAAGGGCCCATCTGACCCTTTCACTTTGAATCAAGAAGCCCAAAATGTTGTTTGAGATGCTGCTCTGCTGGATTGCATCCATTACCAGCCCTAGTGATCCAAGGCAATGTCAAATATAGGTGTATGGATTACCTGTCATTTAGGATGAATTCAGCCTCTAAAACCCCATTAGTGTGAGGCTTGGTGCTTTCTGGAATTACATCCATTTTGTACATCTTCACTTTCAATAAATTTTGTTGCTACAGATGTAAGCACAAAAACACATCTCCATTAAGCGCCTTTTCTTTGGAATTCATATATAATGTCAAGCAGATAAAACAGAGTCAATGTCCAACTCTAACAAGGAAAAACTGCAGTGCCCAGAATCTGTTACCTGCTCCCCAGCACAGGCATCCAAATTCAAACACAGAAATGGCCTTCTCTTGGGAAGCAGTTTTAAATGTCTTGGGAAACCTGGGCTTAGTGAGAGTCACAAAAGTCATCTCCCTTTAAAAAAGGACCTAAAGTCTAGTCCCTGCAGCCTCTACATTTTAAGTCCCTGCCTGATAGGTCCACAGGCTTCTCAAACTTGGTATAGTGAAACCTGAGCTCATGCACATCTCCCTTAACCTGGTCCTCCATTGTTTCAGCTACATCCGTGAAGCCCACTTCCTGAATCTTTTTAGAGATCTGGAATAAGTCATTGCAGCTTATCCCTCCCCCATTTCTAATCCACAAAGCCCTGTTTATTCCTAAAATCTGTCATGAGTTTACCCACTGTTCAGTATTCACTGCCACCATCCTGGTCTTGAAAAAGCATCATCTTCTCCCACATGAGTTTTGCTTTTTCTGAAGGCATCTCCTCATACCTTTGCCCCTCCACGTGTCCATTCTTCACATGTGGCTTGTGTTGTCAAAAAAATGTAACTTGACCTCATCATTCTCTTGCTTAAACCCCTCTTACCACCCTGAGGATAAAGTACAAAGTCCTTGGGCCTCCTGGGCCCACACAATCTGATACTACCCACCTGCTCTAACATTTGGCACCCCTGTCCTGACCTCCTTACTGTGCTTTCTTAAAGGTTCTAGAAGGCAGCCAAGCCCTGCCAAGCCCTAGACCTTTGCTCACAGTGCGTTCTGCACGGTGTTGTTTTCCCACCATCTTACCAGTGCCTTCAGGCTTCCGGCTGTCCTCAGCATGGCCCTCTCTGACACTTGTCTGCCTGGGGACAAGGCTACATCCCCCTAGAGCCTGGTTATGCTCTTTCCTTTCCTGCATAACGCTTTGCACAGCTGCACAGTTGTACCTACTCAGATGCGCTTCCCTGTAGACCCCAAGCTGCCTGAGGGCAGGGGCTCTGCAGTTGGAATCCCACTCTGTCCTCGGGACCTGAGAGCAGAGAGCCTGTCATGTTGTAGGTGCCCAAGTGATAAACAGAGGAGTGAAACTTATCCTCCCAGTTTTGTGATTAGCATTACTTTAGTATTTGATTCTCTATACTACAAAGAAAGCTAACACAGAAATGATCTGAAAGCTTTCGTCATACTCTGGACTTTTTTTTTAGTGCATGTTTATCATACAGAATAGTAATGTTCACTTTAGGGAATTGATACAATGCATGTGTATAACATCTTGATCATTTGCATTCTCTTTACCTCCCTCCCTCTCTACCTCCTCTTCCCATCTCCTTCTGGAGAATCTACCTTCTAGTTTCTTATCATCCCTCCTGTATTTTATTCATTTATCTATTTCTATTTTAAGAAAATATGTAATATTTTACTTTCTGAATCTGGCTTATTTCGGGGTTTTTGGTTTGGTTTGGTTTGGTACTGGGGATCAAATTCAGGTCCTTGAGCTTGTGAGGCAGGCGGCGGAACCACTGAGCTAAATCCCTGGCCCTTGGATTATTTTGTATATGGTAGTCTCAAGTTTTATCCATTTTCCTGCAGACATGATTTTATCCATCTTTATGGCTTAGTAATATTCCATTGTGGATATATCACTCATTTTCTTTATCCATTCATCCATTGACAACATCTAGGCTGTTTCCAGAGCTTGGCCATTGTAAGTTGCTCCACTATAAACATGAGTATGCATGTACCACTATTGTATGTTGCCTTTGGTTCTGTTTTGACACCCTAGACTTTGATGCTGTCCCCATGAAAACTTCTCCATGACTTAGGAATAAAGTCCTCCTTGTCCCTGGAAAGTGCTGGGATGTAAGTGGCCTTCTTTGCTCGGGACTCAGAACACCTTCAGTTTAGTCAGTTTCTTTGCTCTTAATGTGGGGTTTTCCTTTGGTCACTGAGTTATATTGATCCCAGTGTGGGTTTTGCCTTCCTCCACAGTGATGCAGAAATGGGCTATGGTGAGGAGAGGCCAGAACTTGTGAGAAAATCCTGAGTGTCGCTGTCTGGACAGGGCCCTTCTCGTTCTCCCTCTGACGGCTCAGCCCACATGCTGTCTGCCATCTGCGAGGAGGGCAGTAGTGACCCGGAGGTTGACACAAAACGCCACAGGCTTGACAGCAGATCAGTCCCCGGGACCACTGCTGAGTGGCCTGCAGTCTTGTTTCCTGATACCAGCCTGGGATCAAATTCCAGCCATGGATGTTGTCTTGTCCCACATGGTGTTTAAGACTCTCAGTTCCAGTATTTTAAAAATAAGATTATCATGGACAAATCCAAGTTCCTGCGTTCTCCTTGGAGGGGAGGAGATTTGGTGAAACCAGCCCACTAAGATTGGCAGGAGCTACATGAAGAGCATCCCCCTTAGAACAAGACCCGTTTGCCCTGCCCGCGTCGTCATTTCTCTTGTCCCCCTGGCATTTGTAGGCATGTGAGTGTGCAGTCCCCATTTTTAAGTCAGGTGCACGTGTATACATTCAAGAAAGTTGCACTGACATTCTGTATAATTATTTTTTTCTCTTTTCCCACTTTCTTCTTCGTTTCTCCTTTTCTACTGCCTCTACTTTTTACAGGTGCTGGGATTACTGGTATGGACCCTTATTGCTGGAACTGAGTACTTTCGAGTCCCTGCGTTTGGCTGGGTCATGTTTGTCGCTGTATTTTATTGGGTCCTCACCGTCTTCTTCCTCATCATCTACATAACAATGACCTACACCCGGATTCCCCAGGTGCCCTGGACCACAGTGGTAAGGAGGCATGGGAGGTGTTCCTGTACAGTGCCCACTAGCTAGGGTAGTGTTCAGTCTTTTAGCCAATTCAGAGTTGTCTCTACCCATACCAGTGGGCCACACCATGGAGCACCCAACACAGCAGACAACGTAATCTGATTGTTTCTCAAGGTTGCCTCTCAGAATGTAAAACTGAACACATTTGAAGGTCCGGAAATTCCTCTGAAGCTAAACAGCAAACTAGTACTCAGAAGCCTGAATCAAGAAAAGCTCAGTTTTCTAGTTTATTAGTCCCTATAAAGAATGTCACCTGCAAACAGGGGTATCAGGGCGCCATCCTCTGCAGATCTCCCTTCCTTCCTTCCTTGATTCCACCCTCTCCCTGATCCTATGCATACCATAACTCTTTGATGTTAGGGTAGGCTGAGTCTGAAGAGTGGGGATGAAAAATGAAATCTAATGTGGCTCACACTGGGAAGCAAGAGTAGTCCAGGGTGGTTGGATTGTTGTCCTAGCTCTAGGCACCATGCTCCTGTGGTTACACAAGGTTAACACACAAGCTCAGGGGGACTAGATATAAGTAGACACAGGGCCTATGCCATGCGCTGCAGTGGGTTGTGTATACTCAGCCCCGGATACCTGGGAACTCTTTAGAGAGGAAGTAACATTTAGTTTTATCCTGAGAATTGAACATATGTCATAAGTGGATCCGTGGAGATAGGAGATGAGTTTCCCTTTGTCTTGGAGTGTTGCAGTCTTGTTGGGGAATTTGAAGTGGCCGTATGATTTTTTTAAAAAACTCCAAGTGGCGCCACATATATATAAATGTATTTATAAAACAGAGTGCTGGAATGGTACTATTTTTTGTTTTCAACCAATATTTCAAAAATATCCAGTTCTGCATAACTGACTTATGAACCAAATGTGAAATACAGCCCACTTGAGGGTTGTAGGCTGCAGTTAGGTTGTCAGGCTTTCAAATAGTGCAGCCATTGCTCAGATGCGCCTGGCTTTGCTCAGATGCGCCTGGCTTTGCTCTAAGTTGCCTTCAAAGCTAAGTTAGCCCCACAAGAAACAAGTCTTCTTTTATTTTACAAAACAGATTGATTGACTATTGGCTATTTCCCCACATCCAAGTTTGAAAGTTCTTCAGTAGAGTTTAAGGAATGCATTTCAAGTTCTGAAAGTTATTCCAAACAAGGTGCTCACAACTGACTGCAGACACAGCCAGAATGGGATCAGTGTCCTGCTTCCCCAGTGGGCAGGAGGAAGCACAGCCTCACTGCGCTCAAAATCAGCCAGCAGGGAGAGAACACCAGGGAAAGAAGGCACAAAGTGAGGGAGGCATTGAAGGAACGCCATTTTGGAGATAGATGAGTCTGAAAGTCATTCTTGAAGAATGTGACTGTGCACCTGGAAGAGGAACTTGGACAGCGTAATGGGAGCAAAGTTGATAGAACACAGGAGCGAGCAGCACCTTGATTTCACCTGCGCTCGAGTCTCAGTTCCTAGTTAGATTGTCTAGATCACAGGCGTGCAGACTTTCTCTGTGAAGGACCACAGAGTAAGTATTGACATCTTGTTGAGCTCTCCTATCTCTGTCACAACTAATCAACTCTGCTCACAGCACAAAAGTGTCCTCGGGCAGTCTGTGAATGAATGGACACAACGATATGCTAGTAAGACTTCATTTACAAAAACTGATGGGCCATATGTGGCCCATAGGCGGCAGTTTGCTCCCCGCTGGTCTAAATCATACATATTCTCTTCAAGCCTAAAATGTTGTCTTATTTCCTTTCTTTTTTAAAAATTTTGACTTTAAATATACTTTTTAAAAATTAATGCTGCCCCCTTCTGGCACGCCGTGATTTTAAAACCACTAGATTAGCTGATCAGCATTTGTCATCCTAACGTATGTCCCCATGTTATAGGTAAAGAAAATAAGTTGTAGAGTCTCAGAACTGCATAGATTCATACATCCCTTGATTTCCACACACATATTTTTTTTTCTGACTGCCTGCTACTGCCTGAGCAGTAGATAAGAACCCCAACCAGAAGTCAAGAACAGGACCTTTAGTCCCTTCAGAACTGTTTCGTCATTTATGTCCTCAAACAAGGCAGTGAGCTGTCTGTCATGTGTGAAGGTCAGACAGCCCACACAAGTGAGGAAACCCAGCTTCCTACTGAATTCTTGCCCCACAGGCACACTTTCTTAGCATCTTAAACAAGTTGAAAATATACTTCACTTCTCAAAGAAATAATCCGGAAACGTACTGCCAGGATTGGTATATTGTTTAATCCAGAAAGCTGAGTTTTTGGGTGAACTTTCCCTATTATAAAATATTTAGAGCCAGTTTTTCCAAACTTCATTTTCTGCTACTCAAGTATGTCTGACTTCTGATTGGGGCTTTTATTTACTGTGCCAACAAAGAAGCAAGTTTGCAACTCCGTAGAGCATCTGGGAGCTGAGTAAGTGGTTCTCACCAAAGATTCAGAGCAGAGACTAGGAGAAGTTTCCGTCCCCTAAACACTGAAGGCTCAGACTGTACTTCTGCATTGCCTGCTGCCAGCTGAGGCTCTTACAAAATAAACAGGACCACAGTGTTCCCCGGCTGCAGTGTCCCAACACAGCTCAGGAGTGCCGCGAGCACCAGGCCGGTGGTGTCATGGGCGCTTGTTAGACATGCAGAATTGTAGGCCTCTCTTCACCCCCTGGATCAGGAACTCTGTAGAGAGCATGGGAACGCCTATTATCCCAAGCATTCCATGTACTCCTTAGGCTCCTAACGTGTCGGAGCACTGGTTTACAGATACTCATGGGATGACAATCCCTGAATCAAAACCTTTAGGCCAGATGTGAATTAAGATTTTTTCTTTTCTAATTTTCAGAAAGGTAATAAGGCGGTTTGGTGTATTTGCTACAATGTGGGACATGTGGCCCTGAGTCTGCAGCAGCACTCAAATATACACATGTATTTGTGTAGAAACATGTTTTCCTGCTAAGTGGGAGAATAAAGACCACATCACCCCCGTGTTAGTTCAAGTCCATTTTTGCTGCCAAATGACTTTAGAGTTTATTCTGAATGTTAGCATTGAGGGACCCTCAGATTGTAGAGAAGGTATTCATCTCCCCAGAAACTTGGCTGGGAGTGAACTCCTGAAGCACTGAAAACACTAGTGTCTCACGGTCTAGCTCACCATTCGATAAGGCAGAAGCTTTGAACCGGAACCCAATCTGAACAACAGTCCATTCCCTTAATATGTCTGGAGAGGTGCAAAATCACCCGTTTTCTCCTTTAATAGCCCGCAAAAGCTATAGCTGCATCCCAAAAGCACCTCTGAGCTCTTAGACTACAACTGTTCTAATACCATTTACTCAGAAAGACTTGGATGAGTTTCGTGATAGATCTGATCTGAGCTAGAAATTTAAAACAATAAAATAAGCCCTCTCAGTGCTGAGCACCAGGGCCGACACAGTGCATTTCCTGAGGACTGTTCCTCTGTTGCTCATCCCTGCTGACCTGGCCACAAGCCCTGTGAGCTCCCCTGGGCAGGCACGTTGCCTCACATGCCTAGGTGCCTGCTGTGTGTCAGATGTCACCCTGGGTCCTTTAGATTCTGTGCTGTTCGGTCCTCACAGTGACTCTGCAAAGATGGAACAGATTATCTCCATTTTGCAGATGAAGAAATCTAGGTACTCAGAGGATGTTGGGAGGTAAGGCCAAGCACAGCTGTCCACTCTGGAGTCTGCTTGTCTCCCACTACACACTGATATTCCAGTTTTGGATGCCCCCAGAAGGGACCATTTGCACTGTGCCATCCTGAGCCGGAAGGGCCCTCACAGATATGTCTTGGTGGTCTTTTTGTCAGAGCAGCTCCAAGGATCCCATTTGTCACCACAAATCTTCTGAAAGATCCTTGCACGGATGACAGAGCAAAGGCTGACCGGAAGTTGGCACCTTCCTGCCTGAACCTGCTGTCACCTGGTGGGACGGCGTCATGACAGGATCTGTGGGTCCTCCTGTCACCATTAACTACTCATGCCAGGTGACTTAGTCTGCAAAGCACAGTCAGGTGTGAAGCAGCTGTCTCCAACTGCTCTCTAGTGGACGAGGTTGTGAAGCAGGAATAAGGGAAGGTAGAACACTTCGCGGTTCACATTGTTCTTTAGCAGTACGCTCTCCTCTGAGATCTGTGGGGCTTCTATGGTTTTGCCATTTTGTAAGTTTAGAGTATAGTCATCTTGGTGATACGTTTAATATCTACAACAGAGAGATCCAATACAGCACTGGCTTAAAACTTCTCTGTCCTATAATAGTCCATATTTAAGTCACCTGTCAAATGAGATCAAAGAGCACCCTGGGTTCTTCCTATCTGTGGCTCCACCATCTTTAACACTTGACTTTTGGCCTGGGGTCCAAAGTGACAGTTTCAGTACCTGCCGTCACATCTACCATCTAGTTAGAGAGAAAAGGTAACAAAAGGGGCATAGAGAGGGCACACTTCTTGCCTTCAACTTGTAATGTTGAAGTTGCATACATTACTTCACTTGCATCATGTTAGCCTAAATGTGATTCTTCCAAGAAAAGCTACAAAGTAAAATCTTATTCTGCATGGCCATATGCTCACCTAAAAACTCTGCTACCCTATGAGAAGAATGAACAGATCACAGAAGACATCTAGCAGCTCTGCCACAGAGGAAATAGCTCAAAGAGGCGACTTGTCCAAAGCCGCATAGCCAGTGAGATGAGGGACAGAAGTCATTTTCAAGTCTGTTTACTCATCCACCTCATGCCCTGCAGCCTCTCTCCTGGTGGCTGGCTATGTCCTTCCTCCTTTACTTTCCTCCTTAGCTGTAGATTCAAAATAAGCTTTTCTGCATGTAGCTGAGAACATGTCCTGCCTGGAAATTCCCTGTAGACCTTTTATGATCAGTAAGGAGCTGGGCCTGAGAATGAGATTTTCTAAGAGACTTATTTGTACTACTAAGGCTGGTACCACACGGACAACACTCAAAGTAGCACTGAGCAACTCTAATAGCTGGTTGTGTACAGGACAGGAAATAAAGAGATAATTTTCATGTAGTGGCAGCCTTTGCCTAGACTACAGCTGTTCTATCAAATATGAATGGCTTGCTAGGCATGGAGGCACATTCTTATAATCACAGCACTTGGGAGGCTGAGCCAGGAAGATTGCTGTGCACTTGAGGCCAGAACTGCATAGCAGGACCCTGTTTCAAAAAAACAAAACAAGCAAGACTACATGAATGGTTCTTCCACTGATACTTGGCAATGGAGGCGAGAGCCGGAGAGCACACAGTCAATGAATAGAACATCTCTGCTGCCCCTAAAAGACAGACTCTAATGGATATATTCAGATTCCAATGATATATTCAGGCTTAATTATAACATTAAGCAGAGTGATAGCTTAGAAATACTGGAAAGAAAAACCAATGAAGTTCTAGGGAGCCAGAGGAAGGAGCCATTCTTCCCACTGCTCACTTAGACTGTTATGGGAGGAATTTGCAAGTGACAGGCAGCAGAATGGAAGTAAAATAACATTTACTCATCAACAAGGGTCGATCACACATAAGCGGTGCCTGGATCAGTGACACACTGGGTTACAACTCCTCCTTTTATAGGGTTTTACAGCCTTGACTTCATTTGGGTGGTTACGTTTCATTCTCATATGCTGATATACAAATCATGCTCACAGGACAGTTAAGGGAGTTTACCTTTAAGATCTGCCTAGTTATCCTAGCCCATAGGAAGCGGGTGTTCAGGGTCAGAGGAGTGAACGTGCTGGCAATGGTCCTTTTCATCTTGACACTTTTATGATCGTGTAGGTGCCTGGAAGTGACACACTGGGTTACAACTCCTCCTTTTATAGGGTTTTACAGCCTTGACTTCATTTGGGTGGTTACGTTTCATTCTCATATGCTGATATACAAATCATGCTCACAGGACAGTTAAGGGAGTTTACCTTTAAGATCTGCCTAGTTATCCTAGCCCATAGGAAGCGGGTGTTCAGGGTCAGAGGAGTGAACGTGCTGGCAATGGTCCTTTTCATCTTGACACTTTTATGATCGTGTGGCTCCAGTCTCTTCAGAGCTCAAGACCTTACCGTGCCCTGTATCTCAGGTTCAGACCAAATGCCTCATTCAGCAATTAGTGCCTTCGCGTGCCTGTTAGTTCTGAGCTAAACAAAACAAACTGCTATTTTGCATTGTAGCACTTTATAGGTTTTTGCTATTTGTAAAAGTCTTCTCCATCGAGACCTGTGGAGGTTTGGGGAGTGCCAGATGCTGAACCCCAGTTGTTCTGTCCTCCACTAGTCTTCAAGAACCCAGTGTCAGGCAGCAGCCCAAGAACCTTGCATTTTTGACCATCTCATTATCCTGCGGTATCCGTTTTCTTCTCAGTCATAGAATGTTCAGATGGGGCCATGGCCACCCCACCAGTCTACACTTCCCAGGCACCCTGACACTTGGTCATGGGGATACAAGGTGTAAACGTGCTGAGTCACCCCTGAGGGCAGGGCCTGTGCCCCCCATCCCACCACCCCACTCAGTAGCTAGGATGCAGCTGTGCCAGAAGCAGCCCTCCCACCCTCTGCGGATGGGAAGCCCAGATGCCAGCCAGCCTGAAGGAAGGAGTATTTTCCTAATACCCTGTGGCTGTCTGACAGCTCTGGCTCTAATGCCTGTTACCTGAGAGGCATAAACGATCTCTCTTTAATCATTCATTTGAGTTCTTGCTACCAAATCCATGCACTAATGTACATCACCTCAGGCCTCCTTGCCCTGGTCTACAGACCTGAAATTTCCCGTACTACTCAGGGATGTCATCAGCAGCCTTCCTCTAAGACCCTTTTAGCCTCAGGAGCTAAAAAAAGTTAGGAGTAATCAGGCAAACCAGAAAGTACTGTGCATAGTAGTGTAAATATAAGCCAATTTACAGCTTAGTTCTGATTCTTTGAATTAGGAAGTGTGTGTGTGTGTGTGTGTGTGAGTGAGAGAGACCACCCTCCATTATGTGGCTTTTTTTCTTTGAAAGTCTGTCTGGTAGAGGACGGGCCACCTTGGAGGGTGGCAAGTTGGCCATAGCTGGAGCTGGGCTCCTGGAGCGCGAATTCTCACACGGGGAAGGGAGGCTGTGCAGGGGTGGCCCGTGTGGCTCAGAGTCACTTCTGACAGACTGCAGTCTGAAACCCCCACACAATTAAAGGGTGCGGACCAGCAAAGAGTTGTCAGCTGTTATGTGTATGTGCCTTCACTTGAGAAAAAGAGCCTTTGTGATACCAAAGAGGAATCAAAAAGAATAGCTGCCTCTCCTTACTCCTTCTAAAAACAGTTGGCCACCTGCTCCAAGAACCTGTATTATGCTGGCAGCTCTGTCTTCACCACTACCCGTGGATGTTTCAAGAACAGGCATGTGCACTCTTCTAGCCTGAGCAGCCCCAGATCAAGAGCCTCCTCTCCCTCCTGTGTCCGTGAGGCTCAGTGACATTCTAGAGTCTTCCTGTGTCCTCTTTCACTTTCGTAGCCCTCCTGCTATCTTGTTTAGTCTTTAACCATCTCAGAGATGGATTTCTTTGCTCTTTTGTTGACTGTCTTTCCACTGTGTCTTCACTACAGTGCCTGAGCCAGGCATCCTCACCACATATTTACCTTTGGGACTATTATGTGAGCCCAGAGAAGCCACAGTTAGGCCCCGTGAGATGCTGTTAGGGGAGTCTTGTCACAAGCCGGCCAGGCCCCAGTGAAATGGCGCGGGGGAAGAATGCCTCCGCCGGCGCCTCATCTCTCACCAACCCTTCCCCATTTCCCTCCAAGGAAATACGAATGTCTCGTTTCCACAGAGTTCGGGAAAATGGATTAGGCCACACATTCACAGCTCAGGTATTCAGGGAGTCTTTTTCTCATCTTCTGTTTGACCCTTCATGTCACAGCCACGTGGGCAAGGTCAAGCGCACTCTGACCAGACTGAGCACCCTCTAAACACTCATCCTCACCCCTCCTGTGAGGACCTGGATATGAATGGGTGCCCCAAAATTTACATTCAAAGACGTTCACCACACTAGTGCCTATAATCCCAGAAAACAAGGGACATCCAGATGCCCATCAGTAGAGAAAGTTAATTGTGAGATGTAGGGGCTGTGACAATCATGTGACCAGTCTATGGGGACTACCTGAGAAGGTGCCTTTTGTATCTTTTTTAATTGAAAAAAAAAAAGTTACGTAACTCTGTGGCCCCCGTTTGTGTGACAGTTTGCCTGGACCCCAAAAGGAAGGGTAGCAGTATCTGCCAGATTGGATTTAGTTTGGAATGGGGAGTATGTATTACCTGGGAGACAAAATGAGAGTATCTTTCAAAAGTAATACGTGGCTAGTTTATTTTTTAAAATAAGTTTAAGTTCCCCTGTAAAAGGGTATAAAATAAAAAGATCTCCCATTCCTTCAAGGTAGCTACATTGAACTATTTCTACATCTTTAAACAACTGGGAGTCCTTCACTTGGCAAATAGTAAATGTGCAACACTTTGTATTCTAAGGGGTGATGCAGGGGGAAAAGATTTTATTTTTTTAAAATGCACAGATGTCTTCCTGAACCAAAAACAAAACACACACAGCCAGTTATTATAATGAGTCATCCTGGGAAACCAGAGCTCCTTGAAGACATAGTTCTAATGTCAGGTGAGTGTCGGGTGCTGCCAGAACCCCAACCGTGACCCTGATGGAGCCCCACACCCAGGGACAGTGTGGGCTGAGGGCTGAGGTGGTTTCAGGGGTTATACACCTCATCTCAGAACGCCAGGGCCTGTGTGGAGAAAATGCTGTCTCTGTGCCTTTCTTCCTCCGTTAGAAAAGCGAAGCCCGCCCAGTGCTCTACCTGTCTTGCTCACTAGGGAAGGTGATAGACCACAGGGCCCACACACAGAGAGGCATCTCTCTTCCTGCCTCTGCCCAGCCCTGCCTCTCCTGGGAGTGCAGACAGGACCAAGCCTTACACCCTCAGGAGTATAGTTTCCTTGAGTTTAAATATAACCAAAACCTAGTCACCAACTTGGCTTTATATCTCTCTTTCCTCTAAAAGTCGGAAAAAAGAAGGTAAAGCCAAGAGCAGAAATAGTCCCCAAAGGGCTCTGATAGTATCTGTAATCCCCTTTTTAGCTTTAAGAACTTCTGTTCTTAAAGAGGATCTCAGTTGACATGCCCTGCCCAGCATACAGCCAGGGGTTAGGACATCAGTCGGCCTGCTTGGGTGACAGTCTCTCCTAGTTCTGGCAGGGACTGGAGTGAAAGGCCGCCACAGAGGCCAGGACCACAGAACGAGGCCAGTATCTGTTGCTGCCTTCCCCCACCACTTGTCACCACACAGATGTCTGTGTGAGATGATGGCTGAGAGCCAGCTAAGGAAGAGCTGCGGCTAAGGACCAGCTCGTGGTCTGGGTGGACAGGGTGGGCTGGCATCTGACACAGGCGCTGCTGTGAAGCCTTCTCTCGCAGATGCCTTCTCACAGGTGGCTCCACTCTCCCCCCTGCTGTCCACTTGGGCCCTGACCACACCAGGTACAACTCTGGCCATTTCCGTGTCTCCCTCCTAAACACTGCCCCTCTGCCTTTCCAGGGCCTGTGCTTCAATGGCAGTGCCTTCATCTTATACCTCTCAGCCGCTGTTGTGGATGCTACTTCTGTCTCCCCAGAGAGGGACAGTCACAACTTCAACAGCTGGGCAGCCTCATCGGTGAGTGCCCCAGCCAGCCCCCGCCATGTTCCTCCTCCTCCTCCCTTTCCAAGGCCTACTAGTGTCAAGAAGGAGAACAAAATTATCTGCAGGAAAAAAATCCCACTTGCACTAATGACAATGCCCCTCCCGGTGGCTTGAGGTGCCCCGAGGCTGAAACCTCTGCTGAAGTCCAGCCACATGGCTGGAGCAGGCTGAGGGAGCAGGGCTGTTGGAATCTTCTACTGCTTGGAGCTTATTGAGGCAGGGAAGGGGCAAAAGCTGAGTGTATGGTTCCTTTTACAGTGGACCCTCGAGTTACAAGTTGAAATACAAACAACTTGGGTTATGACCAGAATTTTAGTTTTAACTTACAACCAAAGTCTTGAGTTAGGAACTAAATGCCAGCCACTTGTGCTTCCAGATGGTCTCAGATACAGATATTTAGAGAGTTCTGGAAGGAACATTACAACATCCTTTCCTGTGTGGGGTTGAGAAATCGGGGCCAACGTGTCTCTCCTAAGGCCCCAAATCTGCCTGTATACAGGAGACAGACTTCAAAGGCTGTGTAGAGGAGCCTGAGCCTTCAGTTGACCAACTTGAGTTATAACCAGCCCTTGAGAACGAACTGAGTTTGTAAGTCAAAGGTCCACTGTATTCTGGGGCGGGGGTTGTTTTTGTTTTTGTTTTGAGTAGAAATGTTTGCTTATGCCCTGGGAATGCCTAGAAAAATAAAGGCCAACAGAGGTTTTTTTCCAAGGAGGGAATTGGTAAAGAGGAGAATGGGGAAAGAAACTTCAAATTTTTAGTTATGACTTTTGTTGCTTTATAAACCAAAATTGTGTGTTATTTTTCTAATTTTAAAGACTAGTTTTAAGAATTGCTCTAAGAGTGGCCCTTATAATATCCCATCCCCCAAAGAAGCCTATTTGGAGTTAGGAATGCCAGAATGATGACGTTAAAATTGACGGTACATGGGGGCTTCTCTTATTTTTTACTTCTATTCAGATATTAAAGTCTCTGCTGAAAAGTAGAGAACACAGATACATATGACATTAAAAATCACAAGCGTTGGTAAGACTGGGCTCCAGTTAACAACAGCACCGGGCTGTAAAAGGTGCCTCCCCTTAAGAAGGGCCTGGTTCTCCTGCCTACGTTCACAGTGCACACCAGCTGGGCTTGTTCCGTATTCCAGCCCACTCGGCTCATTTGCATGAGCTGACCCTGTAGCACCCTGAGGTTGAGCCCTGGTCTAAATTGCCTGTACTAGATTAGAAGTGATATACTTTTCTTAGATGCTCCCTACCGTATGTACTCCTAAGTGAACTCCCTGAGGTTATTTTGAGATAAACTATAGGCTTTCCAGATATGTTCAAAAAAAATAAAAACAGCATGGCCAGAAATGGTTTGAGAAGGAAGGTAATTGAACCAATAAAGTAATTTCAGATGAGAAAGCCTGGAGCCAAGGGAATGTTGAATGTGCTTGATTCAGTGGACGTGAAATGATAACTTTTGCTAATTAGAATGTGCCCTAAGCCCGCTTTCTATTATGCTTTGTTTTCTCTAGTTCTTTGCCTTCCTGGTCACCATCTGCTACGCTGGAAACACATATTTCAGTTTTATAGCATGGAGATCCAGGACCATACAATGATTTACCATTTTGATAATTAAAAGGAAAAAAAAAAGAAGAATCTCACTGTAAAAACAGCTGTAGGTATAATGTATATTTCCAAACAATTGTATTTAACTAATGTTTTTATATACTTAGTTAAATTGGTTCACAGTGGTTTGCTATAATTAAACTGAATACTTATTTACAAAGTGCTATAGCTTGTAATGAACTTTTAAATATCTGGTTGAGGTCTTCATAGACCTTATTTTCTTAGATAATGCATAAATAGACAAATTGCTGATATTAAGAATGTGTCAAGTTTATAAACCTAACTTTTAAAATGCCAGATTCTTTTGTGATTAAATGTTATAAAATCTCAGGGAATTGTGTCTGACTGGAGAAAGGAGACCTCCTGCTATGGAAGCCAGAGGCTGGGTATTATAGGAATATTATCATCCTTATTGGCTGGGCCGCCGAGGGGTGGTGCTGTCAGGAGACACTGGTCCACCGTCCTCAGGGAAGGGTGGCAGCAGAGAGTCAGCTCCCGAAATCTGGGGTCACAGCGCTCATGATTCCCACTTCCCAACAAGTGGCCTAGGAAGCAGCTAATGAGACGTGACCTTGAGGTTGATAATGTGATCAGTGGTGCTGCCAAATGCAGGGGTTGATGTGCTCCGATGTTTGGGTTTTTTTTAATAATGTAAAATAAGTAGCTAATCATTAAAATGATAATATGTACATACATCTTAAAGTCATCTTGCTTACCGCTGTGGCATATTGTGTAGCCTGTGTGCCATTTTTTATGGAAACTTCTAGACCACAAAGTCTCAATATTTCAAACCTTTCACATAAATATATTGTAGCATCATTAGTAGGCATTATCAGACGATGGGAAGAATTCAGAACATCAAGGCCAATGTGCACTTAGAGGGCATGCTTTTAGGTAGGATGGTTCTTGCTGGTACAGCAGGTATCATGGATGATTTTTCAACATTAGCTTTAAAAAAAAAGGCAAGCCGCAGAAACATTAGTAGAGTTGATGACATGAACAGAGTTGAGGCCATGCCCTCTCTCAATATGACTTCCTGTGGTATCCACCTCTGTCTCTTTCTGTTTAGCAGTGCTTTTTCTTTCTGTTCTATGTTGTTTGTACCCTTCCTCCAAGCCCTGTTCATCCCTATGTAGGAGAATTGAGAACAGTCTGAAAGTGTCCATGAAGAATGTTTTTGGGTTGCAGTTGAGGCCCAAAGAAGTAGCGGGAGGAGGCTCGAAAGACAAGTGCAGGGCGTAACATACAGATGTGTGGGGGTGGTGAGCACCGTACAAGGCCACTCTGGGCCAACAGTTAGCAAGCTGCGGAAGGTGGAGCCTTTTCAGTGCAACCTGCAAGAAATTGGTGTCGCAGGCTTATTTAGAGCTCATTCCATGTCACGAGGACAGTCTGCCACTTGCCGATTCTGCTGAAAATCTGAATGACTAGTCACAGCTACGTGCTCAGCTTCTCTGTCCCTGGCTCCCTCTCATAATCATAGAAGCACATCTGCCTTCCACATATCCTGTGGGTTTCTTAAAGCACATTATATTGCAGTCAAGTTCCCATAAAAGCCAAAAAACCAAAACCAGTAACCTACAGAGGTCTATTTCTGAAAACAGCGAAGGAGGCCCCTTTTATGTACTGCGGAGTATGTGTTACTTCTATAACCGTGACCTCATTTATAGGAGGTAACTTCTGGGGTGAAAAGTGCCATAAACCCACACTTTGAAATGTTCTTCAAATAGGCTAGAATTTTAGGGCTTTCTTGAACTGGTAGCATCAAAGAGATATGTTTCAAAAACAACAATAGCTAGTTTGTGTCCATCTAGGGGCATTTACTATTTTGTCTTTATTTGTAGATTTTCAGGAGCATTCACCAAAACAACAACCAGAAGTATTTTTTTTAACAGAAAGGTAAATATTGTTTCCTCTTTTGGATATGGAGAGTTCTTGTTCACAAACAATTTTCAAGTTTGCATTTTCGGACAAACCATTATTAGATGAAGCTATCGGGTTTAAACTGGATCAGCTTTAATATTTTCTTCTGTAAAAGCAGGGAAAGAATACAGCCTCACATAATATACCTGACATTAAGAAGAATAGGTTTCAGGGTGGGGTCTGAAAAATATTACCCGAAAGAGAGTGCACAATTACCCGAATATTACCTGAAAGAGTGTTTGCTGTCCTTGGTGCTCAGTCTGCATTCGCCTCTCCGCCTTTCGTGTCCTCTTTGATGGAACCAGGAGTGTTTTTAATTTGATGTATTTACTCATTCATGGAAGATCAATGAAATGCTTTAGGCAATTAATCTCTTTCTATTGCTATTTCCAGTTCATAACCCCGAAAGATAAATATTTATCCAATATTTGAAAACTACAAGAAAATCTAGAGATAAGAATGTTCAATACCAATAATTTATTTTCAGATCATTAAATTTCTCCCTTCACAGGGAAATCCCTTCAGGGTATTATTAGCAAGATTTTAAGATTTTAAAGACATAAAGTATCTCTGTGTATAACACAGACATTTAGAAACACTGAGGGTGCAGCCCTTGGTAGAAAGTCAATTCAAAGTCCATATTTATGCCCCCTAGACAATTATTGTTTTAATTGGAAAGATAGTTTTTCATAAAAAAGTGAGTTTTATTGAAATTTAACTGAAAAGATAGGTTTTGGTTTTTGTATTAGGGATTGAATCCAGAGCCTTCACACTGAGCTACGTATATCCCTGGCCCTTTTTATTTTTTATTTTGAGGTTATCACTAAATTACAAAGTTGCCCAGACTGGGCCGAAACTTTTTTGGTTTTTTTGTTGTTGTTGTGGTTGTTTGGTTTTGTTTTTTGAGACAGGGTCTCACTATGTAGTTGAGACTGACTTAGAACTCACTATGTAGCCCAGGCTGGTCTCAAACTCATAGCTATCCTCCTGCCTCAGCCTTCTGAGTGCTGGGATTACAGGCGTGAGCCACCATGCCTGGTAAAATATGGGCTTTCAAAGGAATTAATCTTGTCCAGGCACATTCAGCCTCTGATCTTTTTTTTTTTTTTTTTGGTACTGGGGATTGAATTTAGGGCCTTATGCTTGCAAGGCAGGTGGTGGAACCACTGAGCTAAATCCCCAGCCCTTGTCTCTGATCTTTGACAAAGAGGCCAAAAATATACACTGGAGGAAAGATAGCCTCTTTAATAAGTGGTGATGGGGAAACTTGCTATTCACATACAGAAGATTGAATTTAGATCCTTATATCTCACCATGTACTAAACTAAAATAAAAATGGATCAAAGATCTAAATGTTAAACACTGAATCTTCTAGGAAATAAAATAGGTAAAACTTTTGAAGATGTGGGTGTGGTCAAGGACTTTCTGAACAAAACCTCTGTTTCACAAGAAATAACATCAAGAATCAACAAATGGGATCACATCAAATTTCTGCACATCAGTGAAAACGACCAACAGAGTGAAAAGACAACCTACTGGATAGGAAACATTTCTTTTTCTGGCTATCCCATGGACAGAAAATTAATATCTAGAATATATGAAGAACTCAAAAATGAGACCAAAAAATACCTGATCAAATAATAGGCAGGTGAAAGGAATAGACACATCTTGAAAGAAGTACAAATGGCCAATAAATAAATGAAAAAATGCTCAGCATCTCTGGCCATTAGAGAAATGCAAATCCAAACAACACTGAGATTCCATCTCACCCCAGGAAAAAATGGGTTACCATCAGAAAATCAAAAAATACCAACTGTAGGTGTGTGTGGGGGTCTACATTGTTTGGTTCCTGCATTGTTGTGGAAATGTAAACTAGTACAACCACTATGGAAATCACTGTGGAGTTTCCAAAAAAAACAAACTGGAAATTCCATTCAACCCAGCTGCTTGCCTTCTAGGTATTTTCCTGAAAGAGTTAAAGCCATAGTATCACAGAGATGTATGCATACCCACATTTCTGGCAGCACAATTTATAATAGCTAAATCTTGGAAGCAGCTGGAATGGCCAGCGACAGATGAATGGATAAAGAAAATATGGTATTTATTCACAATGGCACATTATTTTTCTACAAAGAAGGATAAATTTGCATCATTTGTAGGAAAATGGATGCACCATGAGACCATAATGTTAAATAAATCAGACACAAGCTTAAATATGGCACAGTTTGTCTTATATGAGAAACCCAAAGTATGAACAAATCAAAGGGAAAAAAGATAATAGGAAATGGGGAGATAGATCTTTTACAAATGAGAAACAGACCAAGAGATGGGAGAGGTGTAAAAAAAGAATTAAGATGTGTTATGTACATGTTCCAGCTCCATGCAGTGTAATTATGTATTGCAAGCATGTACTAATAAAAATAAAAATTAAAAAAAAAAAAACACAAACTTACCTTGGCATATAACAGAGGCTGTAGGGATGCATGTACACACATGCACACACACACACACACACACACACACTCTGAAAGTGCCAACTGGAAAGCATGTGTTTACTTGGCTTTACATGAATGTCTGCCTGACAACATGTGAAATTTTTTCTAGAATATTCAGAATAGCTAAAGTAATTCAGTATATGACAGATCTTGTGGCTGCTGCCCAGCGTCTTTCCTCTCTCCTCTCACTATCTAGCCTGGTTTTTGTTCAGTATCCATGGCATCCACGAAGAGCTCAGGTACTTGGAGGAAGCTGACTCCATTGTGAATCTAGGAATGGAGCATAAGGCTCTGTGTAAAGTGACAGCATAATCCCACCCCAGGGATGATCATGTAACCCAGTAAGAGTTGTGAGAAAGAAGCATGCTTACTCTGTGTGTCGGGGGTGACATATATTGAACCTTTGTGCTTAGCACTATGCTACAGATCTTCCATTTGTTATTTAACCCACAGAACAATGCCATGGAGTAAATACTAGATTATCCCCATTTTATAAATGAGGAAACTGAGGCACAAAAAGTTCAGCAGTTTGACAAAAGTCATCCAGCTAGAGATATAGAAAGTTAACATGGTAACTAGGGGAGTTAATGCGAGGATTATATTAAATAATGTATTTAAAGCACCTGGCATGTAGCAGGTGCTCGATAAATGTTTTTCCTTTTTCCTCTTTTTGAATTTTTATTACCTGATCAATAATTGTATGTATTTCAGAGATACCGTGAGATGTTCTGATATATGTGTGGATTGTAGAATGGTTAAGTCAGAGCTTACCCTTAATGCAGTTTTTCATTTGCCTGGAAGGCAGCTGAGGAAATATGTAGCTAGGAACCTATTTGCAACTATTTGGCAGCACAGGTGGGAGCTAGCTACCAGGAAGGGAAAGCAAAAAAGTGAAAAGAGACTTCAATAACATTTTCAGTTGCTGCATCAATTCAGCCCAGAAAGCCACCAAACTCTGACTTTGTAATATGTGAGCAACTCTCCTCACTCAACTCCAGTTTCTTGCAACCTCGCGCGCCCATCCATTGCACAGGACGTCATGGTAATGCAGTGAGCCGTCAGAGGCACCTGATAGTAATGATGGGATGTGTCAGTTTAGTAACAGTGCTACTTAGCAATAGAATGGTCAAAATGGATATGTTGAGTGACTCACGCTTTGCTGCAGCAGTTGTTCGGGAGGCCAGGAGCGTGGGAAGATCCTGCAGGAGGAGCAGCAGGACAAAGGGCAGTCACAGGAGGACTTCACCATCTGTCTTTGGTCATTGCAACAGGAAACCTGAGTGTGAAGGAGCAAACTTCACAATGTGGCCTCCAACTTTCATTTTAACTTTTAATGAGAACTCTGATGTGGTCTGAAAGATCAATAGTCTCTCTTGAGAGGGGGCTCACATCTCTAAGTTGGCCATTAAGTGCAAGGAACATTGACTCTAGAAGAATGGAGATCAGCCATGCATGGTAGCTCATGCCTGTAATCCCAGCACTCTGGAAGGCTAAGAAAGGGGGAATCACAAGTTTGAGCCCAGCCTGGGCAATTTAATGACTTAAAGAGACCCTGTCTCTAAACAAAAAATGTAGAAGGCCTGGGAATGTAGCTCAGTGTGAAGGTCCTAGGTTTAATCCCAGTAACACACACACACACACACACACACACAATTTAGATCAGGCCTAAACTTCCGGCATGTATGTATGAAGAACAACTTAGTGATCACAACTTAACTTGTTTTCCAAGTTAAAATCACATTGAAATGCTACTTAACACCTTCAAGAATGGCCTTCCCGCCTCCCCCAGTACTGGGGATTGAACTCAGGACCTTGTGCTTCTGAGGCAGGCATGGCACCACTGAGCTAAATCCCTGGCCCCTTTTTTTTTTTTTTTTTTTTTTTTAGCAATACTGGAGATAGAACCCAGGGCTTTCCACAGGCTAAGAAAGTTCTTTACCACTGAACTATACCCTCAGCCTAAGTGACTAAAATTCCTTAAAAGCTAACAATATCAAGTGTTGGTGAGGTTTTAGAGTATCTGGAATTTTCCTACATTGCTAGTGGGAGTATAAAATGGTAAAAGTATTTATAAAGTTAAACATGCACAGATAATATGACTCAGGAAATCCATTCCTAGATGTTTACCCATAAGAATATGTCCACAAAAAACATGTGCAAGAATATGCATAGCAGCTGTAGTTATAATTACCCCAAACTGGAAACAACCTAATGTCTATTAAAAGGTGAAAGAATAAATAATTTGTGATATACTATATCCTTATAATGGAATACTACTTAGCAGTGAAAAGCAATGAACTACTGATACATTGACAGCATGAATGAATCACAAAAACATGCTGAATGAAAGCAGTCAGACCAAAATACTTAATGGTTGATTCTATCTCTATGAAGTTCTATTAAAGGCAAAACAAATCTATAGAACAGGAAACAGATCAGCGGTTGCCGTGGGTTGGAGATGGCAGGATTGGCAAGAAAGGG